TTTTTCTCTGTCACAACAATACACCTGCTTATTCTTCAAGGGTAGCAAGGCTTGTCCAATGAGTTTTGTTGGAAAATCTTACCCTGTGTTCCCTGCAAGCCCGATCTTCCCTTGTGAATTTCCCCTTATTCCTAAAACTCAAAAAACACTTAACGGGAACATGCTTTGAGTTCCTTAAGCAGGTCAAAATTGGCATTTTGACAAGTTGTAAATCAAAGAGTACAGAATTATTTAGGATTAGTGAGATGGAAACACTGCCTTCAGTAATGTATAGGCCAAATGGAGGATATGTTGAGAAACAATAGCTTCACAGTTTGATAGCTCTGTTTAATAAATGTTATTTATTGAAATATAGTAATTATTGATACATATTTTAACATATTAAGCAAAAGTTTTTGACTAACCAACACACTGAAAAACATAAAATTTTATACTTTAATAAGTATACAGATTTTTAAAGGCTAAAATTAATATACTGATAAGTCATAAAAATTGTAAGCCTTAAATCATGCTTCAGAAAATAAAGAAGAGTTTCACAGGGTGGAGAAAATTTATGAATGGTTTTAAATTACCCAGAAGGCAAACCTCTAAAGTTATTTTATAAGCTGCTTCCATTCTAATGTATTATGTGAACGATAATTAGTTTTTATTTTGTTATACCAATCACAAGGCATTCTCTATCCAAATAGTATAGTTCACGAGGTAAAAACATTCTACCTTTAATGCCTATGCATACCATGCCTGACTTTTATAGCACATTTATGTTTTTTCAATGAACCAAATTACATAAATGTCATTCTTTCTGGAATTGGAAAATTTGCAAGAACAAAATTACCTTAGGCTTGAATGAAAGGGCAAATTCAAGTGGGTTATGTCATGTAATGAAAATGAAACTTTCTATTTCATTAACAACAGTTGATCTCTGTCAAAATGATCAGAGAGGTTTTTCCAAAAGGCACCTCTCAAACCCACTGAACAATATGCAGCATGTGATATTTTAGAAAAAAAAATTCCAAGTAAATTTTAATATGATGATGTCAGATTGAGAAATCTTAACTACAGAATAAATGGCAATTATGGAATGTATAGCAACTATAGACAAAAAGGCACCTGAAGAGTTCTTTAATCTACTAGTACTATATCAACTGATTCCGTAATAAAGGCCATGTAAATGTCTTAGAGCCACTTGAGAAAGTGCATAAGCAGTTGAGTGGAGGAGAAGAGTATTCTCCAGAGATGATACTGGAGGAACTGATCAACCATAGTTAAAAATATGAACTTCACACCTTATATATAAAGCATCCTGAAACTGATCCCAGGTGGAACTGTAAAACATAAACTATAAAATCTTTACAAATAACACAGGAGGAAAGCTAACACAGGAGGACCTAACACTAAATTCCTAGACAAGACTCCAAAATCATATTCATTTACAAAATTATAAATTAAGACTTTATCAAAATTAAAAACCTTTATTTCATGAAGGACCATTAAAATGAAGGGGAAACAAGCTGGGAGTAAATATTTGTAAACCATCTATCTGACAAAGGTGTAATATTAATTAAAATATAATGAAAATTGTGAAAATTAGCAGGAACAAAATAAACTCTCAAATAAGAAAATGGGCAAGAGTCATGAAGAATTATTTCACTGACAAGGATTATATGGATAATGGCAAATAAGAACATGAAAACATGTTTAACATCATTAACCATTAAAACCACTGCTATTGTGTTGATTGTAACTCATAGCAACTCGACAGAATGGTTTCAAGGCTGTAAATCTTTACAAGAACTGCCAGCCTCATCTTCTTCCTGAGAAAAAGTTGGTGGGCTTGAAATGCCAACATTACAGTTAGCAATCTAATGCTTACCACTAAGCCCTTTTCATGAACCATTAGGGAAATGTAAATTTAAAACACACAAAAATGGACTAGACACCTATCAGAATGTTGTTGTTAAGTCCAGCTGGTTCTTAAGACCCTTTGTACAGTAGCATGAAACACTGCCCGGTCCTGGACTATTCTCACAATGGTGTTTGACACCACAGTTACACTGTGTAAATCCATCTCATTAAGGGTCTTCCTCCCTTAATGAAGTATAATACCCTTCTGCAGGGACAGGTCTCTCCTGATAATATGTTCAAAGTCTGGGAGAAGAAGTAGAAATTTGGTGGCGTAGTGGGTTACATGGTCCGTTGCTAAATGCAGTTGGCAGTTTGAAACCAGCAACTTCTCCGCAAGACACAGATGAGGCTTTCTACCTCTGTAGAACAATATAGCCTTGGAGACCCGCAGGGCCAGTTGTACTCTATACTGGGGCATTATGATGAGTTGCAAGGAACTCCATGGCAGTTGGGTTTGGGGCTTTACTTTTTTTGAGTCTTATCAGAAAAGCTAAAATTACAATTGTGACTATAGCTAAAAGCTAGTAAAATGTGGTGAAACGAAATGGGGCTGTAAAGAGATATAGCCATTCCAGAAAAAAAAAATTAGTTGTTTTAGAAATCAGACATGCATTTACTTTAAGACCCATGAGTTCCACTCCTAGACATTTATCCCAGAGAAATAAAACTTATTTTCACACAAAAACCAATACATAATTGTTCATAGTAAATTTATTTGTAATAGCCAAACATGGAAACAACCAACATATCCCTCAATGGGTGAATGGTTAAACTGTCATACATTCATTGCACACTATGGAATTCTACTTGGTAATGAAAAGGAGCAAACTAATGAGCTACAAAAGGATTTTAATAGATTTCAAGGGCATTATAATTAAAAGGGGAAAAAAATCAACTCCCAAAAGGTCATATACCTCTTTACATAACATTCTGAAAATCACAAGTGATAGAGATGGAAAAGTTATGTGTGAGCCAGAGATGAAGGGTGATCGGGAGAGAACAATAGGTATGACTACAGAAAGGGACCCCGAGGATAATCTGTGGCATGATGGAACACTCTCCTGATTGAGGCAGTTATTATCTACATGTGATCAAATGGCAAAGAACTATAAACAAATATTGTACTAATATCAAATTTCTAGGTTTGATGTTGACCAGGAAAAAGGTTTATAGAACTTCTCATACTATTTTTGCAGCTCCTTAAGAATCTATACCTACTTTCAAAATTAAGTAAAAAAAGTAAACTATGTTGTATAGTCATGTTAAGAAACTGCCAGTTATGGGGGGACATGGGAGAGGGGGAGGTGGGGGGAAAGATAGTGGTGTTAACAAACCCAGGTACAGGGAACAAGTGATCCAAATCGGTGGTGAGGAGGGTGTAGGCGGCCTGGTAGGCATGACCAAGGGTAAAGCAACTGAGAGGAATTACTGTAACCCAAATGAAGGCTGAGCATGATAGTGGAACAAGAGGAAAGTCAAAGGAAATAGAGGAAAGAGCTAAGCGGTAAAGGGCATTTATAGAGGTCTAAATAAATACAGGTATGTATATATGTAAATATGTTTATATATGAGGATGGGGAAATAGATCTATGTGCATATATGTATAGATTTAGTATTAAGGTAGCAGATGGATGGACATTGGGCCTCCACTCAAGTACTCCCTCAATGCAAGAATACTTTGTTCTATTACACTGGCATTCCATGATGCTCACTTTCTCGACACAATCGCTGAAGACAAAGCGGGTGAATAAGCAAATGTGACGAAGAAAGCTGATG